GCGGGGCCGGCGGCGCGGGGGCGCGCCCGGCTGGGCCGCGCCCGGCTGAGCCGCTCTGCTTGTGTCTCCCGCAGGCGCCCTGCTCGGCTACCTGGCCTCCGCCAAGTTCCTGCTCTACCTGGGCCACGGGCTCTCCACCTGGGTGAGTAGCGCGGCGCGCGCCTCGCCCCGGCCCGGCCCCGCAGGGACCCGCCGCGTTTGCAGCCTGAGCTGCGCTCTGCATTCCCTGGAAATAGCGCACTGCGCGGGTCCGGTGCCTTACCCGGCTGCACGGAGCCCCTGGGATGCGCCCCAGGGTGAGCGCAGCGAGAGGAACAGGGCACGGCCCCGACTGGTGCCTTGGGAAAGGCGCGCGCTGCGTTGCCACACGCGCCTGGGAGGGTTTGTGTGTTCCCCCTTGCACGGGGAAACGGCGTTTGCAGCCCGCGGCGTCCTGCCGCTGCCCTCCCGCGCGGGCCGAGAGCGTCCCGGGGGTCTGTCCCGGCAGAGCGCCCTCGGACACGCTTGGAGGTGGAAGGAACTCGTGCAGCAGCTCCCCTCACTCGCTCAGGCCATTAAAAAAAAAAAAAAAAAACTGTTTCTCTTCATTATAGTAAAATGATAGACTAATACTGAACTAAAAGATGAATAATCATGTAATATACTCTTGATTTGCTATAAATAGCTAGGCTCAAAAAAAGTGCCAAGTTTCTTTTAGTGCTGGATTTGGACTGTTTTAATGAGTACTCTGTGTAGCACCGAGCCTACTGCTGATGGACAGTTAGAGCACTAACCTGCTGGCAGTGCCCTGCTTTCCCTCATCTAAAAGGTTGCCTTGATGCTCCTGTTAATGGAGGAAGCAAGGCTTGGAGGGACATCCAACACTTGTTTACCCAAGCGCAATATTTTTAGCAATTATTAATTTAAATCAGGGGGTCGGGTGATGTTTGGTTTGCAGTTAGAGTCCAGGGTTGTTACCTGCAGCTGTTTGTTCTGTCAATACAAGGGCCAAACTGCTTACCTGGCTGTCCCGGCTCCCTGCTGGCCAGCACCAGCAGAGCTCCAAGCTGGGATTGCTCAAATGCCTGTGCAAGGGCCACCGAGTCAGGTGAAAACTACAGCGCACGTGCAGGAGGGCAKGCTGCAGGGTGCCCGCTGCGCTCTCCGCGGCACCGGGAACCGCTCCCGGCTCCCTGTGGGCCGCTCTCGTGCTGAGCGGCTGTCTCGAGCCGCCCAAGGGAGAGCAGCGTGGCCTGTTGCGACAGAACTGGCTGCAGGACTGCGCCGTCTTCATCTCCTGGGCTTTGATGTTCTCGTAGCCTGAATGTGTGTGCTAACAAGAACAGTTTTCCGCAGGCAACCAACCAGCGCTTCCAGAACTGAAATTACGGGAGCCTTGCTCTAAAATGTCAGTGTCCAAAATAAAAGCTAACGAAAACATATCTTCTCTGTTGATGAGAGAAYTTGATCAACTTCCGTGTTGCCAGGCCACTCCCAGATACAGACAGAAGTTGAAAGATTAAATCTCATGTCTCAGATGCTCAAATTTGAGCAAAGTCTAGGCTGTCTTAGGCTCTTGATCAGTGACAGTGCCCGTATGTGGGCAGGATGGCTTTGCTCAACGGGTGCCCCAGACTTCATGCAGTTGCTTCACATATATAACTTATTCCTATCTATTGCTCCACAGTGGCGATTGAGCCAAGTGAAGCTGTTCTCCTAGTTGTTGTCTGCACTAGTAATTAGTCATATAAGTATTGCAGCTTCCCAGCTTATCTCTGCCACTGAAGATACCCAGGAAGCCTTTCATCAGGCAGCAGCCTGGCTACTGCTTGGCTTCTTGGCTTCAGTGCTGGGCTGGGACTGTGTACACTTAACCTGAGAGGCTGTAAGGATGGTTGTAACAGAGAACTAAAGACTGCCTTTACAAGCATGGTTAGGCTAAACAGCTATAGTTGTTCATTACAAGAAGTTTAAATATCCCTATATGGAGTCATCTTAAAGTAGGATCAAGTATGTATAATCAAGGCTTTGCCTGCTGTAGAGAGATATTTGCTATTGATATCTCAGTGAATTTTACTTTGAAATTTTGTATCAGGTTTATAACTGCTAATGATTGAATGTTTTTTCTCTGGCACTAACTTATCTTACTCTCTGACTTTTTTAAATTTTTGCAACTTGCTTCCAGGTTGAAACAGCCTTGATTATTCCYAAAGCTGCCTGTGTAGATTGGCCTGATCAAAGTTCTCTGGGTAAATAATTTGGATGAGGTTAAACAGAGCTTACAGSTTCCTTAAATGAGTCCTGTAGCAAAATCACAATCTCACTGAAGTCAAGAGAATCATCCTGTAGGTCTCAAGTAGGATTGGGCTTCTCAGTCCAACAGTAGTGACTGTCGCTGGCTTTTGCACACTCAACTTCTTAAGATTTCTCTTTCATTCCTAACAGAATTCAATAACTGAARCATGTATGCATAAGGGAAAAACTCACAAGGTTTTCCTAATGAGAAATATGTTTTAGAAGATGATTTTTCAAACATAAAGCCTGCCTAAGGCTAAGCATACATTGTAAATTGAATTTAGGGAAGAAATAGCTTAAGTCATATTAAGCTTAAGTGAATGATAGTCTTGAAGTTTTCTGTTCTTTCATGTTCTTTCTGTACCCTTAACTGTAGAATGCAAGTGTAAAATTTGAAAGATGCTTGGAAGAGTAAAGTTAGATTTGCCCTCTCCTAAATAATGAAGTCAATTCTGCTCATGTTTGCGTTCTTTCATTGGTTTTGTCTTAAACCATACAAAGCAATGAGATGCTGCTTTAAGCTTTAAAAAGTGAAATTTTATTTATAATTGGGACACAATTATTTCTATGTCCACAGTTAAGGAGACAGTGCAGGTGTTCCTACTTTGCAATRTTTGAGGAAACGGCCTTCAGAATACTTCAGTAAATGTTAAAAGCCACGTTCTTTAAGCATGTATACTACTACCACGTTAAAAACTTTTCTTTGAATTATGCTTGCAGTAGCCTTAACTCTTCAAATAGCATGATTTTTATGCATCCTGATAGCTCTTTTAATCCGTATGCCAAATTTGTTATTTGCTCTTATAAAAGTGCTTTGATGTGACCACTCCAACTGTTCAGGTACTACATGTTTCAAAGGTCCTTAAATACTTGTAATTGCTGCATTACACAGCAATTACTTAAGGTGAAGGAAGGGAACAGTTTCATATTTGGTCTGTAGGAGACTTAAGATCGGGGGCCCTTGTTAAGCATATCCTCTGCCCTAGAACAGCGTTCCCTTTATCTGCTTTGTTATTGATTAAGTAAAGCCTTTTCTGTAGAGCGCTTGCAACATGCTTAAAAATACAGTGAGATAATGACTCCAGTCATATGACAGCGTCACCGASATGGTTGTTAAATGACATTCCTAGATCTCTTCGGTAACAAAGAAATACTTTAAACRGTATGAAAGTTACTTTGTTTAGACATCTCGCTAGCTGCATCAGCCAAAGAGTCAGAAATGTATCAGAATATGGAAAAATGTACAGTCAAAGGAACAGTGCAGTGGTAGGTGAAGTATAAACTAGTTTTGATATTCTGCCTCTTAGTAATACACCATTGTTTACCATGGTTAAAAAGTTCACATTCATTGTTTTCAAAGACCTGACCAAAAAGAGGCTTAGGGCAGCACCTTCCTTGATCTACCTGTATTTGTGCTTTGTTGTTTTACTGAATTCTGACTCTTGACTAACTTTTGTTTTTTAAAATTGCTTTAACATTCGCCCATCTAAGGACAAGTCACTATCATCAAAGTATTAAAGTATACTAATGATAATTGATATAAATATAAAATTGATATAAAGTATACTAATGATAATTGATATCTTGTGGTATCTATTTGGTAGTCAGTGCTAGAGAATTGAAGTTTTCTCTGGATCTTGTTGGAAGTGGCTGGCAACAGACTTCTATAATAATATAGGATATATGTGGAATTTGATGCAATGCATAAGCTGTAATATACTGCTTAACTGGAGCAGATGATCACAGTGATACTTGGTTAAACCGGAGAGGAGGATATAGTTTATGGTTTAAAAAACCCCACATGTGCAACAAACCCAACACTTGGTTAATTCAGATGTTTTTCAAGGCATTAGTAAAATAGCCCACTAGGTCTCTATTGCTTTCTTGCAAGGTGCAAATAGTAATGCTGTGTGTGTACTTTATTTTTAAAGGGAGATCGTATGTGGCATTTCGCTGTCTCCGTGTTCCTGGTTGAACTTTACGGGAACAGCTTGCTCCTGACTGCAGTCTAYGGGCTGGTTGTGGCGGGATCAGTTCTGCTCCTGGGAGCCCTCATTGGAGACTGGGTGGACAAGAACTCCAGGCTCAAAGGTTAGCATGGCTAGCACAGGCTGTTTCCTTAAGGCTGGATCAAACTAATGTCAAAAGACAAAGGTATTGAATACATCAAATCAAGTAAGAACTGGGCTAGCTCAGGCCCTTAAACAAATGATTTTGCTTCAGAATGATACCTATTTTTAATACATATCCTCTAGCCTGTTGTGTAAATGGGATGGCATCAAGTTCTTCATACGCTTTCTCTTTTCAAGAGTTACGTAATGGTATTACTCAATGACACATGAAAAGTAAATTTCAGAGACTTAGACCAACTCTTGTTTTTATTGTTTTAAAAGAAATAATTCAAGCAGTTTGCTTCGATGGCTCAGAAAAAGCCTACTTGGGCATAAACCCTAAAAGGTGCAAAGTCACATTAGACATGATATTGACTCTGAGACAATGGATGATTAAAAACAAAGTCTAAAATGACACCTCCATTTTTGGGGAAGGGAGGGGCACTGAGGGAAGGAAACAACTAGGAAGCTAAAAATATTTACAAAGTCTTTGTTCTTTAACTGCTCTTTCTGTAAGCTTATAGATTGGTCATTCTTGCATTCATTATTGTTGCTCTTCTCTTTGATTTGACACAGTGGCCCAGACATCCCTGGTCGTGCAGAATGTGTCTGTCATCCTGTGCGGTGTTATCCTGATGGTTATCTTCTTGTTTAAGACACAGCTCTTGACCTTATACCACGGATGGCTTCTTGTGAGTGCTCAAACTTGTTAACAAGGAATTTACCTAGAAGGAAGTTTTGGGGGGAGTATGAGAAAGAAGAGGGATTTTTTTATTCTACTCTAGTCCTTTTAGTCARTTCTGTGACTAAAACTGGCAAATAAAATCCAAGCTAATTGCAAAAAGAGGGGTGATTTGCTTCCTGTCAGGAATGGTAAAGAAAACTCCTCATGTTTGAAGAATAATGCTTAACTGGATGGGGTTAAATGTAAATCTGTAGTTTCTGGTTGTGTGATGTAGCAGTGGAGGTCTCCCATCATCACTTTTCTCACTCCGTAACTTTTTCCCCCCATTTTTCTAGACGATGTGCTATATCCTGGTTATCACGATAGCAAATATTGCCAATTTGGCCAGCACTGCCACAGCGATCACAATTCAGAGGGACTGGATTGTGGTGGTTGCAGGGGAAGACAGAAGCAAACTGGCAGGTGAAATATGTTGCCTTTTTAATACCTTAAAGTGCCTTACTTTACAAGTATGAYGTTAGGTTAGAATTTCAGAGGTCAGTGCACTTCACTTCTAGGTACTGTTAGGAAAAAGCTTAAAGGAGCAACCTTTGTTTTTTTTCCCCTTCTATTCCTGACTACACTTGCTGAGGTTAGAAACTACTGGGACTGTGATTACAATGCAGTTAGGTAACCCTAAGCTTTTGTTCTTCATTTAATCTTAAAGAGAAACTGCTTTTTTTTTAATCAACCAGATAAACATATGTGCTCTTAAATCAAATAGCTTTTCCTATTAAACACTTGGTTATTTAACYTTCAGGTACTTAAGGCCAAGTGTTGCAATAATTTATTTTTAGGCTTCTGGGATGCAACAAAACTGTTGCCTAGCCAGGCACCTTACATAGAGATCAAAGAGGATGAATCAGTCCAGAACAGTTAAGTACCTGGATCAGGAAACTGCCAATGTAAAATGCTGAGTATTTGGAGTTTTAACTTCTACAGCATTAGGTGCCTAGCTCAGAGCTGTGAATACTGACCTTCTGTTGGAACTGAAAACTCTCATCTGTTATTTGATACCTCTAGTATTAGACTACAAGCTTAATATTCTCTTGGCTTATTAARTATTTTTTCTTCTACTTTTTCCTTTCTTGCCCAGTGGAATGGCATCATTAGAGAGTTTCCATCCCAGTTCTGTAGCTAGATGGTCATAACTACTAGGATGTGAGAAGGTTTGTGATCCTCTACAGGCCAAGGACATGTTGCACCTCACGGGGAGAGTTTCCAGGGCTAATTCCAAAGGGATGTATGATCAATGCCTGGCTGTGTTGCTGCTCTGCTTACCACACAAGACAGTGTGGAAGCATTGTCTTTCATTACTACCTTGATCAACTTCTGTGGAGTCTATATAAGGCAGTAAGAGGAGTTGAGCCCCCTTAGAGGAGTTGATCTTGAAGTACAGATGAGGCAATGTAAAGTTCCTCCGTGCCAAGACGCAAAGCTCACTGAGGTAACTCTGGGTCTAAGTTTTAAGTACAAGATATTTGTGGAGTTTAGGTGCCTCCAGGCTTAGGCAACACTTCAGTTTTATGAAATATTTTATTTAAAGCTACTTAAATTGTCCGTAAAGTTCCATTCTTATGCCTAAGTTCTGGGCTTTAGACTCTTACATTAGGTCAGTCTCCAGTAAGTCTCTCTCTTCCTCAACAGAGGGTAGAGAAGTCTCAATCTCATTTCCCAGTACACAAATTTTCCCTGTAGCTTTTACTTTGACCTTGCAGTGCCTTTCTAGGTCATGCCTTTACACATATGAATCACAAGTGGAAAAAATAGTTCCATCTCTAGAAGCCTTAAGGCTCTAATGGCTCTCATTAACCTTTCTTCCTGTGTTAGATCATATTCAGCAAATCATCCCCCACCCCCTGTACTTCTACACATGAGATAAGGTACAGACCACACCTGCAGAGAACTGCCTGGCAGGCAGTCCTGGGTCTGCTGTGACTTCGGGCAGTGTTATGTGACCATTCTCTGTTGGAAACCAGGCAAGAGGTTCCTGAGGACTGAGGCAACGTTGTATGAAAGAGGAAAACAAAAGCTTAGCAAATCCGAAAGCTCTGCCAGGCAGGCATAGGGTTGTGTGTTTAATCATAGTGTAATTTGTGCATCTTAAGATAAAGCAAAAATAAAATGATGCATTGATAGCAGCAAATACTAGTTTCTAGCTTTGTTAGTGTCCTCAGAGATGAGTCTTAACTAGCTTGGTGGACTAAGACAGCTGATAGGAGCTGTCTGGACTTCCCCTTTTCACTTTAATCGTAATCACTGATTAGTCTTTTAAATCACTGATTCTTGTGTATCTGTCAAGCTAGCCTTAGATAAATAACTCAATGTACCTTCATTTTTGGAATTTCTAAAGCAAAACATTGACTCCAACTTATAACTAAGTGAAGTGTTTGAACTCAAAACAGAATAACTTAAACATATCTTCTAATGGCGGAGCAATTAGATTGACTCCAGATTCAGAAAGAACAGATGCACACTGGTTTACAATTTCACTCATTTGTTAAAAGCTCTTTTAATAATAGGATCCTAAAAAGACTGAGATAGTTCTAAACAGTGTGAGGACCTGATGTACTAACAGCATCAGACAGAAGAATGGCAATATTAATTGGAAACCTGTAGCAGCCTGGGCATTGAAGCAGATTCTGGAGCTCATTAGATTGGGGAGTGAGTAGAAAAATCCCCCTCTTGGCAAAGGGAAGCCATGTCCCTGTGAAGGGGCTCCTTGCTTTGACCATAAACATACAAGTGTAGAACAGAAGGCAGCAAGAACTTTGCTCAATATGTTCTGAGAAGGCCTACAAGTTCCAGCAGCCAATGTGACGGACTCAATAAGGAAACTTAAATCTATTTCAAAGGTCTGCTGCTATCGCTGACTACTGTGTGGTCACCAGTTATTAGAAATGAATGGAAGAGATTAAGGAGTACATGGCTCAGGAGTGGAGAGGCAGCAGGAGCTAAAACTATCTTTACAGAATCTGTTCTGCCATGCGAGATCCCCATTAGCGTCCAGAGCTGCATGTCCTGGGTTTGAGTGCCACAGAGCAGCTTAGGAGTACGTCAGGCACCTGGATGCAGGAGCAGTGTGTGATGCAGGTTATTTTCACTTAGTGGGTTTGCAGCGGAGGAATTTCTGCATGCTCAGTCTGGAAACCTTCATCCAGGAAGATTTGAGGAGTGGGAATTTAGCTTACTAACATCTGGTTTATCCTAATAAATTTAGATTTTTCTTTCTCGTTATGATTTCTCGTAAACTTATTGAGCACACAAAAATGCTTCTAGTTTGCAGTCCTGTTACAAGTGAAGTCACTTGTCGGGGGTCTTCCCTTGACTTGATATGCTCAGGAACTTGATGTGTGTTTAGGTGCAGTTCTCATTGTGCTAATGAATATTTCCCTGTAACTGTTAGCAACTTCATATTCTCAAATCATCCCTGACAGACATGAATGCTACAATACGAAGAATTGACCAGTTGACCAATATCTTGGCCCCAATGGCGGTTGGGCAGATAATGACGTTTGGCTCCCCAATGATTGGCTGTGGCTTCATTTCGTGCTGGAACTTGATGTCTATGTGTGTGGAATATTTGCTGCTCTGGAAGGTCTATCAGAAAACCCCTACTCTGGCTCTCAAATCTTCAAAAGTTGAAGAATCAGAACTGAAACAGCTGAATGTAAAGAAAGGTATTGAAAGTATTAAAGTAGCTGTTCAAAACCACAGTATATTTCCTGCATCGGTCAAAGCAAAACTTAATTGTTTTTCTGTCTTGTTTGGATGCTGTTTTGAGGATACAGCTTTTTAGTTTGGGTCAAAAACACCAGGACTGTAAGTAACAATGTTTCTTGCTCCAGCTATTAGGAGTTAGCCCATAAAATTAGCTAAAAGATGAATCCTCTCCTCTTAGTTGATCCTTTAGAGTAATCCTGCCCTGTTGAGAGCTGGTTGATGTTGATGAATATCCATCCATCTCCCATCTAATATGCCAACAAAGCCCTTTGATAGATAGTGTCTACAAGCAAATGATTTGTGTAGGATTTTTCCTCCTAGCTGGTCTCTGGTTACATGCAGCACTTCACTTGCAGGCTTTGAGGAAGTTGCAGGCTTGGTGAAATATTTTACTCTAGCTAAGATAGGTAGAGTTTCTATTTATTTTTATAGTCTCTATTCATACAACTAATCCAAATACCACTCTGGTCTTTGGATTTGTTTATGAACAGTGAAAGTGTGGTGCCTTTCTTCTATAATTCCACCTCCACTCCTTTAATATAAAAGAGCATGATCTAAAATCAAGTTTGGAAAGGTTTTTCTTGTATTTTGGGGTTTTCTTGCATGTTTTGCCTTGGTAGGCTTCAGCAAGCTTCTCTGCTATAATAAAAGATACTGCCAGAGGATTAAGTATTCCCTTATTTCCTTAACCTATATTCCTATTTCCATGGTTAGTGCATTCAAACGTAAAAAAAACCCTTTGAAATACAAAGTAGCATTAACTAATATCCATTATTTTCTTTATGGAAGATTGCTTAGAACGTTCAGTCACAAGAAGTCTATCAAGACAAAAGCATCACCTCTTCCTTTCCCACCAATTTAACAAACAGAACTGTGGTTTAAATACAGACAAACTTGATCTTACTGAAGGGAGTTGAGGACCCTTGAACATGCAACTACTCGGAAGCCGATGCGCTTCGGCAGTGGCGAATGTTCACTGTGAACAAGCGTGYGGGTGTCTTGCAGTTTGCACTTTGCCCTTTCCTGGCAGGCATCTAACAGCTGCGTTTCTGCCCACAGAGAGTGACGTGAAGCCTGCTGAAGGAGTGCAGCTCATGGTCGAGAAGGATGCCGGCGGCGCCGAGCCACGGCGGGACAAGGAGGCCGGCTGCGCCGCGCGGATCGCAGAGCCGTTCATCACGTTCCGTGATGGATGGGTCGCCTACTACAACCAGCCGGTGTTTCTGGCAGGCATGGGCCTCGCCTTCCTCTACATGACTGTGCTGGGCTTTGATTGCATCACTACAGGCTACGCGTACACTCAGGGTTTGAGCGGCTCCGTGCTCAGCCTCCTCATGGGGGCCTCGGCGGTCACGGGCATCATGGGGACCGTGGCTTTCACGTGGCTGCGCCGCCGGTGCGGCCTCGTGCGCACGGGCCTYGTTTCCGGGGCGGCCCAGTTCGCCTGCCTCATCCTGTGCGCCATCTCCGTGTTCATGCCGGGAAGCCCTCTGGATCTGACTGTGTCCCCCTTTGCTGACATCGGTGCCAGGCTGTTTGAGAGCGAACCCTTGCCCACCATTGCATCTCCGGGAGAGAAGCTTGAAATGGCTTTTGCAACTGGAATGCCCTCCTTGTTAAACGGGTCTGCTCCTGGTGACGGTGACCCGGAGTTGAGTCCCGAGCCTGTGCCTTTGATCTCTGTTAGTCTCCTGTTCGCAGGAGTCATTGCTGCTAGARTTGGTAAGTAGTGTGTATATTGGCATTGGAATCTGACTTACTGACTGTGCTTAATTCTAGCACTTGCAGAGCTTATCAGCTAAATACAAAGTTGATTTTTTACAATTGTTGGCTGCATTTGAGTGTTCCACAGCATTTCTAAGACTTAATTCATTACACTAATGTTCAAATGACTTTACAGTAGTATTGCTAATCCAGACTGCAGTTCTAACTTTTTGAATATCACACTGTACTTCGGATCATTAAAACAGTTACCACAATTGGAGAAGAATGCAACTTKTTTTTTGGGAATGCTCACCTCAGTTTCCCTTTCTTCTCAACTAAATAGAACTACTCATTAAAGGGAAACAKTATGCAACATCTGTGCTACTATAACTTTCAAATTTAGCATTTTAATCCATTCATTAAATGGTCTAATTGCAGTGTTTAATTTTAATATTTAATTTGAAACTTGTGAGCAGTATGGAAGTTCAGCTTACTAAGCAAATAGTTTGCTTTGGATGAGAGCGTTAATATTGTGAGGGACTTGCACACAATCAAAACTAGCATATTTTCAACCAGAGAAAAAAGTTGAATCTGTAATGAAGTCTAATTCTCATGAACATTAGACCTTTGTCTCTTTAATTTCTAGTGCTTCAGCTGAATTTTGGTGAAAGAAAATACTTGGTTATTATGCATTAAGCTTTCTAATTAAGCATTTAAAATGTATATACTTTTTTCAAGCATGTTCTTATGCAGAATTAATGGTTACTACTATGAATATGCTTTAAGGTATAAGATATCTTTAAATAAGGAACAGACAGTTGAGAAAACTGAAATTGATGTCTTGCTTCAACACATAATAGGTAAGGTAACATGTATTATTTAAGGAAATAAGAGCTATTGTTTTTGCTTTACTATTAACTCTGCTGGTCTCTCTGGATTAGTGCTGAGTTTGTCCTTTGTTTCAGGCAAATCTGAGTGTTCACAAAAATGTGTGCCAGTAACGGGAGCTGACAAGTCCAGTAATGTGGATAACTGTCTTTTCTCTCCATAGGCCTTTGGTCCTTTGATTTGACTGTCACACAACTGCTCCAAGAAAACGTGATGGAATCTGAAAGAGGCATCATCAATGGTGTCCAAAACTCCATGAATTACCTTCTTGATCTGCTGCACTTCATCATGGTCATCTTAGCCCCTAACCCTGAAGCTTTTGGCTTATTGGTGCTTATTTCTGTGTCTTTTGTTGCAATGGGTCACATAATGTACTTCCGATTTGCCCAAAAAACCTTGGGAACGCAGCTTTTTGCATGTTGCACTCCTGATCCCAAAGCAGTCTCTGACAGCTCACCATCTGCTGATACATCTACGGTCTGAAGAATTTTGCTACGCGTACATCACAGTTAGATGTATAGAAATGGTCACAAAAAGCAGTCTAAGGTGTTTCTCTAGAGTTGAATACATATTTAAGAAAGCCTTCCCAAAAGAAATAAGTCATCTTATGGTGAAACCTACACATTGTGTTTTGGACTAGGGACAACCTAGTTAGATCTTAACAGCTGGCATTTGAAAGGCTCCCCAGAAATTACAGATGAAGAATTTCATCAGAAAAACCTAGAATTTCTGTCCCTCTCCTACATCATGATACCGTTTGGCAGTTTTACACACTCACTTTGTCCATATTTGTTCCTTGAGCAAAATTAGGTTTTTGCTTGGTTCTTCTAGAAAAGCTTCACTTTCCATTTTCTCTTTGTCTTTTCTTTTACCTTTTGTTATGTTCTGTTCCACATATTACTCTTTTACCAAACTGGATAAAATCTTTCTTGGAGGTCTGAAGGGGATTTYAGACTTGTTCTAGTGTTTTACCAAAATACACCTCTTCCGTGATTTAACTTTACAGAAACATCTGTGCAGCTTTTCACTATTCCTTACAAAATGGATTAGCTCTAGGTACAAAATATTGTATTATGCTTTTGCACTTCATAAAGTAAAGCATATAACCTCATTTTAGTAGAAGCTATTAATGTAATATAATGTAAAGCATAGCAGTTTTAACTCAAATGCCAGATCTGCTCAGTTTTGTAGCAGAGAGTGCTAAGGTCAGGAGTACTGATACAGAAAGGTAAGTCAAGGGCTAATTTAGCCTTTGCCTCAGAGTACAAGCAGCTTAGGTTTATTTTCAAATGGCATGGCTTTAAGAAACCTTACTAAGCTGATGCAGAAAACGATTACTAGTCCAGGCAAAACACATCTGAAAAAGTGGATTTCTTGCATTTGTTTTACAGTTGGATGGATTTTACAACTTTAAGTTGATTCTAAGATACCTCTAGAACAGTCTCCACCATTGGACTGTGTGGCCCTCTAGGAACTTCAGAGAAATGGAGAAATGTTATCCCTTTGATTTCAGGAAGTTCTTGCATTATTTGACCCTGCACATGTACTAACCCAGTGCTTTTGTTGTCATTAGCCATTTATGCACTTTTGTGGAAGCTACTCTAAGCACTTTGCTTTTCAGTGGAGTTGAATCTTGCAGTATTCCAAGTTTTCCTTTGGTGTGACAGCATGATTTTTAAAGTTAAATCTTTGTTAAATGTTTGTTTGCAAAATTAGAAGAAKGAAGAATAAGAAAAGGTATTTTTTACATGTTGCCAAGGTTTTTAAAGTTTTTATTTTAGGTACTTTCTTGAATAGTCATCTATGTTGCCAGACTTCAGCCCTGGAATGTAAACGTATCAACTCCATGGACATTAATGGCGTTACACCAGGGTTGAATCTAGGCCAGTTATCTAATTAAAAAAAAATAAAAAATGAAGATAGTCTAAATAGAATGTAAAAAAAAAAACAACAAAAAAGAAGTAGTTTCTATCTCAGACATGATATTTTGTGAGGGGGCTGAAACTGAATGAGTGGGAATCCAAAGTACAGCCTCATTGTAGCCCTTGGTATTCAATAACTGGATGTAATAACCATTTTCTCTAATAGACCAAAAGTGATCATAACTGAAAGGCTCTCAGGGATATTTTCATTAGATCTTATAAGTGTTTATACTTTGACCAAGCTTCCTTTTTTTATTATTATTGTAATAGTGAAATAGGTAGAGTATCTTTCAAATCTGACTCAATCCTGAGTACAACTTCTGCAGGAAAAGGGAATTTTGCTATCAGCAAAATTTTAAATGTCAGAAGAGTATTAGAGCAAGCCTGTCTGGATTTGCAGGATAAAGCTGCCCAAAGGTGGCTTCTACAGTCCATGATAGCAAGCAGGATTGAACCAATAAGGAGTTCTGAAGCGCACTAGGACAATCTCTGCTTTGCCAAATATGTTGTGTTTCCATACATCTGTTAGCTAAATTGGGACCAGATTTTAATATTGCTGAAAATAAAAGTATTAGTGTCAGTAAGTGCCTCTGTATTGCACTTCCAGGAACACCTGCATGCCACCATGTAAATACCATTCCCCGTCCATCCGAGAAAGCTGGAAATGCATTTCATGGGGGGCTCTCTCTAGCCTACAGAAATGCCCTGTTCCTGAAGCCTGATCTCGTAGCATGGGACACAGGCATTTTTCTGGCTGCCCGTCCAAGAAGCCCCTTACTGGCAGGTGGGAGCCTACCCTGTTTCCAAATGTTCCCAAAGTAGAGTTTGTTCTGAAGAGCAGTGTAGCCTTATTCTTGGGTCAGAGTAGCTTTGTTTTTCACAATCTCAGTGCATACTGGCATCTGCATCTCGAGCCAAAAAAGTAGCATTAGGAGGGGGCTGGTCCTTCAGATTTTGCATGCATACTCTTGCTAGAGGTATGTGTGTGCAAAGAATACATGACCTGATGCCAGGACAATCCTAAAAGATTGGAAGTAGCAAGAATGTCTTTAGCTTTAACAGGAATAGAGACATTTATATTGGAAGTCAGGTATATTTTTCAGACCTAGTCAAAAGATGTCAAAAATTGTGCTGCGTGAGCACACACCCCATGTGTGTTTATACCTTTAACATATACACAGACACTTAGTGCTTTGAAGCAATGTGGAGCCTGAAATTTTACTTAGCAGGACTTTTGCGAAGTAAGCATTTTTGGCCTATTTATTTATTTTTTGGATGTCCAATTTGGATGTAAATTGCCCTTAAAATGTGCACACTAAARTATCAATCTTACCAGAATAGCATATTTTGTTATACAACTTTATGCTGGACATAGTATTGATTGATATATTAATCTTGTTAATAAAGCTTTTGAATAACTTTGCTTCAAGATTTATTTGTCTTGTATTATTCAGTGTGGGGACACGTGTATTGTGGTATGCTGCATCGAAGATGGATCCTGAGGGTGAAGGTTTTCCATAATAAATGTCTGGAAACAGCCAGAAAGGACAAACAAGTGGCGAACAAATGTCTCATTTCAAAAAATGTCTAGTGCTTTTGGGGAGTGAAAACTGGCAAATGCTACTGAGTCAATCCCAAGTCATGGGCTCTTTGTGATTTTCAAACAATACTTGAGAATTACAAGCAAATCCCAAATAATTCAGGGTAAAGATGATATTTCTGCTAAAGAAGAATGCAATTAATAGATCCATGTTTAGTAAAACCCAGCTCTAGGGGGATGCTATTGCYTCCTTATGTGTCTCAAATTGACCTGTGTTCTGCTGTGTTCCAGCATATTCCTCTGGGAATATGCTGGAATATCATTCCTATCTTTCTCTAGCACCTCTTATCACCCATGTTCATGTTTTTCTCCCCTACTCGTGTTTACTGCAATCAGTATTGTGCTATAATCATCGTAGGTTTGAAATACAGGAGTCTTAGGCCGCTGGAGTGAGACTGTGGCTCCAGCTTCTGCTTGAACAGAGAGACTACATTTCCTAGCTCTGAAAGGCCAAGTAAAGTGGACGAGGAGTTAGCTTGAAAATGGGCAAAGTGTGTGGACAAAGCACAAGCTGTGTGACAGTGCTTCATCCAAACACTTCAGCTCATCTTCATGCGAGGCAGTATTTCTTCCTAGTTCAGCTTTTACCAACTTTGGTGACAAGAAAAGCACATAAATCCCCTGCTTTCCACTCTTGTTCTACGTGGACATTGACAGAGCAAACTGCGTGTGTTCTCATACATGCAGTTAGAGCTCTTCTTCCTTCATAAATGCCCAGAAAGCTGCTTACATCTAGACAGACTGCTCCTTTGGCAAAGGGAAGGGGAACGGATGCTGGACCCTGTTGTAGGTGCCTGAGCACCACTCCTTTTGGCAAAATAAAATATATAACAGATACATAACTGATGTAACGGAGTTAGCCAAATGAGCAGCTGTTGCTGCGATAGGAACTGCTTCAGAAAGCACAGCTGTTTATTCCTGACAAGACATGGTGCCTTTTGGACATGGCAAGGACAGTCTATAGAATATTGACAGCCACTGGTAGCATACTGGAGCCTCAACATAAATTGTTCCTTCAGCAGCAAGAGTAACCAAGCCTGTCTTTGAGATCTGTCCTTTTCACCAAATTTCAGCAGAATTCACTAGCGGACTGCAGGGTGGTTTGGTAGGATGTGATGGTGACGTGCGAGGCGCAGAGGCTCCTGTGACTGCAAAACTCCTCCGTCTTTAGGAAACAAGCGTAAAAACTGCGGGCATGTGATAAGCCTCTAGCCTGTACTCTAGTCAACAGTATCACCTCAACAAATTGGTAAAGTGGAAAAAAATGGACAGACACCAGATGCTTGCAATCAGAAGTCAAGAAAATATGGCTGTAAGRCAAGCTAAAGAATTAGGATCCTATAAAGACTGAGAGGTGACATGATAACAATATCTGAGGATGTTAAGGAGGATGAGAATCATATATGATCTCAYGCTTGCGAACATAAGCACTAAAGATTCAAAATGATGTGTTTTGATTAATGCCCATATTATTCTAGTGAAGAGCCTTCTTTAAGGAAAAAAAAAAAGTCTCATTATTTTTTAGTCTGGCAGTTAGAAATATTAATCTTTCTTTCAAGTTATTTTGGTCATAGAAGCCTGGCCCTTATTTTCATTAGACAGACTTGCAGAAGTTATTTTCCAAAATGCTTACATGCCTCAGTAGGGCACAGAGCCAGCCTACGTTATGCATATACATCTCCTATGCAGTCTGCTTCTTTGATCTCCTTTAGCCGTCCAGAGCCTGCTGATTTAAACAGGAGCTATTGATCTTACCTTGGAGGACATGGGTAGCATGTTTTTTGGGTGCCCTTCTAGAAAGGCGTGTTTTGGTTTAAGGCTACTGGAAGGGTAGGTGTAATGTTTGGATTCCTTTGCATCTGACAGCTTCTCTCCATGAACCCACCACATTAGACATAAGAACTGACAGAGAGTTATGAAAATATGTTGTCTTTCCAGCTGAGAAAGAGGGAGGATGAGTTGCTWGTGTTAGAAATATTTGCTCAGCTGTTACTGGAGTGGGGCCAGTCAAAGTTACTGTTTACAGTATAAAGTGTGCTGCACTCCACTTATCTTTAAAAGATGAAACAAGGTAGAGATTCCATTCTTTGGGACAGCTTTGACAACAATTTCAGAGGAGTGAAAATGAATTAATCAAAACAGAGAACGAATTAATCAGAATAGAATTAATCAGAACAGAAAATGAATTAATCAGAACGTTTTAGATGCCTGTTATGAGCCTGCATGTTTGCATTTGTTCTCCTGTGCTCCCTGTGCCCCATGGAAGCTTGCCCTGTCATGGGCACTGCTTGGCTGCACACGGAGGAGCAATCCATGCTGCATCTGGGGACCAATTTCAGCAGCATAATCTCAACATACAGGTATACCGAGTGGATGGTGTCAGGAACAAATTCCCCTCCAGAAAATATACGCTATGTTAGAGCAAAAACACTTTCTGGAGAGGAGCACACAAAATGCCACTTGAGATGGCRCATGCCCATGGCTGGAATCGAAAAGAAATGTTTTTCCCATGGGAAAAGTTTTGTACAGGAAAGTCTCCCCAATGTCTTTTGACAAGTTTCTTCCCCACTTGAAATACCTTGAAAGCGTATATGGGTCAAGAGGCTTTTATTTAGTTCCACCACATAACATAGCTCTTCGTTTTGTACAGAAATTGTCATATGACAAAGAAACAGTAATTTATGTAATGCACACTTGAGGATCTTGAACTTTACTGCCTTTTTCCTGTGTTTGCTGTCCCAAGATAGCCTTTCAAGTGATTTTCACGTGTCAAAGAAGTCACACTTTGGCTCTTTTTTCCCTAAAATTCTGCTTGCTTTAGTTGATGCATTAAACTGGCCAATGTCACTAGCCTCAGTGCAAAGCCACCATATCTGCAGAAGAATAACACGTGCCTCATCAGCTTTAATTGCTTTCCCTGCCTGTTTAACTTGACTCATAATTAGTCAAAAGAGCGGGAAAAAAAAAACTATTCTGTTGTTCAATTCCTCTTTTTTTTTT